TATCCACTTATAAAAGAAGAGATTTATTGAAATAAATCATGTCTTATGACATTCATGAAAAATTGATACATTTTGCATGAATCGAGTTCTCATGAGAATCTATTTACGTTGTCTTCAATGAATTTTCTTGAAAAGATGTTGATAATTTTGACGATCTGAATTTGAATAAGTTTTATCAAAATCATGATCTTGGTTTCTTAGAATTACTTGAGATAATTTTTTTAATCAAGATCTCTTCTTTGTACTCCTACGATTTTTCTTGGTATTTTACTAAAGAAAAGATTTTCTATGTGAATCATAATATTTTATATGCATGAATTGAGGTCTTGTTCTCCTACAAGATTAAATGAATTTTATCTATATCATGATCTCCTAAGAGTTCTTTTCGTTAATTATTTAAGTGGAGATTTGTTAAAATGGATCATGGTTTCTCTTGATTTCTCAAATTTTAGACTTGATCTTTTATTTTTGATGATTGAAATAATAATTGAAACATTGATGATATGAATGCATGAAATACTCATGATATTATTTTGATGCTCTAAAATGATATAAATTTGCTAGCTTATAAGTATCATGTATGATATGATGATTAATTTATTTTTAGCATCATGCATAGAGTAAGGATGATATGTAAAGTTTTAAAATTGTGCAAGTTGTAAATTGAAACTATAATAATGCACAAACATATTGAAATAATGATTGAAACATTAATGTAATCATGAATGATGATTTGATATTATACATGCAATATTTCAACTTATGATAATGATGTATGCAATGATAAAATAATCATGATGAAAAATTATTTTGATATTCATAACTTGATTTTTTATCTTTGATTATTCATCCTTTGTCATGATTTAAAAATTATTATAAAAGAAAAAAGAGATACAAAATTATATTCTTCCCTTCTTTTTGACAATACAAAGGGGGAGATAGCTAGCTTGCTAGCTAGCTTGCACAAGTCAAGAAGATGCAAAAACTTACTTGCTTGCTTGCACATCTAAAGAGAAGATGCAAACGTACTTCATGTAGCCTGCTTCATGCAAAATATTGTATCTCGCTAGCTTGTTATCTTGCATTATTTTTCAAAAACTTGCTAGCCTTCGTACTTCAAAAAGAAGTAACACTTACCAAATTGCTAGCTTGAATGTTGGAAAATAATGTAAAATTTTGCTAGCTTGCACTTTGCAAAGGAAGCAAAAATGACACTTCTCAAAAGAGAAGAAAGAGCTTGCTATCTTGAACTTCACTATCTTGCCAATCTTAAGAAGCAAAACTTGCAACTTGCACAATGCAATAGGAAGCAAGAATCGCTAGCTTACGTACTTCAACAAGAAAGCTATCTTGCATTTGCTTTTGAAATTTTTGCTAGCTTGTATGTTGCAAACTTGCTATCTTACTACCTTGCATATCCAAAACTTGATAGCTTACATGATGTAACACTTGCTAAATTTTCTAGCTTATAAATTGTATGATGATAAAATTTAATATTATGTTTTTTATGCAATGATTTGAACTTATATCTCAAATACTGGATAGTTGGAATTTCTCATTTTTGTTGATGACAAAGGGGGAGAAGTATGATCATGTTATGCACGATGACATGTTGCAAATATTCATGATGAAATTTGCAATGACTTGAATTCAACTTGAATTCAAGGTTCTATCAATATGACATTGATAGGGGGAGTTAAGGTTAACTTCGTCATCAATTGGTTGTCATCATAAAAAAGGGGGAGATTGTTGAATCTCGAATTTTGATGATGAAACCAATTGATAGTATTTATGATTTACTCTGCGTTTTGAGTGACGTAGGAAGCTTCGATCAGGATGAGACAATTAAAGCAGGAAGAATCATATTCGGCTAGAGGAAAATATGTCAGAAGATTAGACGTCGAGCCGAAGGATCAGTCATGTATCGATAAAAGGCTTTGGGCCATGGTTTCGGGCATCGGGCCAAGAAGAACGGATATTGCACCAAGGATATCAGAGTTGCGGAGGTCAACTGACCGATTGGGCAATAGGCCGCAAGAGAGGACGATGCGCTGAAGAATCGAACGAAGCGTCAATAGACCAATGACATGCCGGACAATATGATTCATGCTTAGTAATAATTGTCTAGATCGAAATGTGTTTTATGTGTGCAGAATTAACTACGATAGAAAGGTATAAAGCAAAATAAAGTCCTAGAGTCAAGAACGTAATTTCGTTGGGAGTTCGAGAGTTCATCGGAAGTCCGGACGTTCATCAAAAGTTCTATCGTAACTGATCGAGAAGTCCAGGAGCTTACCAAAGAAGCTTATCGGAACTCACCAAGAAGATCAACATGAAGTCCAGGAGCTTGCCGGGAGTCCGCTGGAATATTGCCGAGAGATCGTCGGAAGTTCGCTAGAAGATCGCCGGAAGCTCGTCAAAAGCTCGCCAGAAGAAACCTAGACTTACAGACTTTGTTTAGCTTATTAAATATCTTAAAATTCATAGTTAGCACATAATTGAGATTAGAATTGGACTAACCCTATGTTGGGCCAAGAGAAAGGACCAAACAGTGACCAAACAAGTGAAACCGTCGTGGCACAGTCTCCGAGACTATGTCAGGTGGTGGTACCGCCCAGTGTCAGATTACAGGTGGTGGTACCGCCCGTACCTTAAAATTTCAAGGATTTAAATTTTGGCTCTATTTTTGAAGCCATTTGGGAAATATAAATACCTAGCTATTCTAGCATGGAGAAGCAAGAAAAGTGAATAAAAACTCTGTATTTCTAGAGTTAAAAACCCTTGTAAAGTATAGAGTCCCTCCTCCTAAAGTTTAGAGACCATTCTAAGAGAGAGTGTGAGGGAAGCTTTGTAAGAAGGGGGTGTAAAGGTTCTCTCCTGAAATTTCAAGGAGGTTAATCTTCGCCTATTAAAGGAAGATCATTAGTAGATGTCGATGGCCTCGATGGAAGAGGAATCGACGAAGTGGATGTAGGTCACGGCAACCGAACCACTCTAAAAACTTGGTTTATATTTCTATTCTTGCTATTTACCTTCACTGCAAACTACTTACTTGCTTTACTTTCATTACGCTTATGAATATGATTTCAAAGTTAATATCTCTCCGAAATGAATTTCGTCGAAATCGATTTTAATCGAACGAAGATTTTTTAAACCGACGTAATCTTTCCGTTGCACTAATTCACTCCCCTCCTCTTAGTGCCAACTTGTTCCTAATACTAACATCTCCCATGTTTGGGAGCTCTATCCCCGAACGTTTGGATAAAGTCAAAAAGGGACCAATAGAGTATCATAGGTTTTATATATATTCCCTTTCCAATTTTTGGTAAAAGTTCACATTATCCCACAAATAACAGAGTACAAAAGGACATTATGAGGAATAAATTCAGCACGTATCGGAAGCACATATGAAATAATGAAAACATATATGTGCATATATGAAATAATATGATGCAAACATAAACTTTTACATAATGTATTCAGATATAGAAAGAATTAAAAGATAAGAGCTACAAGAGTTCAAAGCAATCACGTAAGGTAAGAATTCTAGATGAATTCAATTTCAAAAAGATGGAATAAGAATAGGCACAATTGGCATAAGTTCTAGAACTTACGAGACACATCACATAAATTATTTAAATAATCAATTATACTCTAATTTACTCAAAAAAGATATCATTTGAAAGATATATTAATATAATTTTAGATAAAAATAAGTTTTATATAAATTAGAGTTCCCATCAACAAGTTACAAACAACTTAGTAACAAAAGGTAAGAGAACATCATCTCTATTTTATAGAATCTATAGGGTCGATTGAAATAGATGTTTAGGTAGGCATTTATATACCAAGCAGTTTAGTATCGAAAGGTTAGAAATTACAATATTTATTTTATAGAATTTATAAGATCAATTAAAATAGAAGTTTGGGTAGTAATTTGAACTTCTAATCTTTCAATCAAGGTATGAAAATCTATGAGTATACTTTTAGATAAAATAAATTTTCTCCAAATCATGGTGTAAAGAGTTATGTCTAAAATAAGACAAATGTTAGAATCTAAAAATTTTTACATTTCACGGTTTTAGATATGAAACTAGATAGGTATCATATGAGTGTTCTAACTATTTCCTATGGTGATTTTAATCTCTATTTTTAGCTTGATTATGTATAATTTCAAAGATTGGCTAAGATGATTGAATTGAAGGGGAAGATATCCTAATCAGGACGATCAAATTTGTCTGGTGCTAAACAAATGTTTTGAGATTTCAATTGTTCAGAAACACTATAACTAAGTTTCAATCAGAGCAAATTTCCACCAATAATTATAGGTTTTGAGGTTTCATAAAATGATTTATTTGAGAGTGTGCATGATTTTGAATGAAATTAGGAAGATTTTATCATAGTTCAAAATAATGGATATAAATCCTTAATTTTCTCACTTAGCGTTAGTATTAGATGTATATATCTTGAAAAATATTATAATATTTTATTCATTTAGTGTGAAAGAATAACAAAAGAAAATGTGAGACATTGTTCAGTTATAATTGGTTCCATTTAAAGCTAAATTAGTTTGATTAAAAATTAATCAACCAATCATCTTTTCTGATAGGAGGGCCATTTGATCATCTTTTTGTGGACAAAATAAAAAAAAAAAATCACCCAAGAATGAATCATGATGTAAATAAAATATTTTTATTTTTTCAAAATAAAAACCAAAACTAAATTGAAGCTGAAGAAATTTCGAGTATGGGTGGGCAAAACAAGATTCTTTTCTTTTCTAATTCTCCCCTTCCAGATTATTGGGCCCAGTCAATTAGACTCCGTGAGAAATTGCGTGTTCGTGGAAGATTAGTCACGCAGACATCATGGAGTTGGCCGCGTGATGAATGTTGACCAAGCCATGATCGCCGACGCGGTAAGCACAAGGAAACTGGGAAGAAAGTGAGATCACCGCGGTGAAGACACGGCTTGTGTTCACGGTTCGCCTATTAGTCCTCCTCGGCCTTTCCCCTTCTTCGCCACAAACAGATTGCACTACTTTGCCTTTCTCTCTGGATCTTCTTCCGTCTGCACTGCTCTTTCTCGAGCTAGTCCGAAGGAGGAGGAGCAGATCATGGCGAAGTACATGGAGATGTTGGACATGGGCGTGCGCATCGCGGCTCGGTTCCACTCTCACTGCCCTCAGACGGCGCGCATGTATTACAAGCCGCCCTCCTCCACCTCCGACGACACCGCCCGTAACTCGTCTTCCTCCTTCGCCACCACCGCCCATCCGGAGATCTTCACTCGGGCTGCTGCTTCGCTGATGGCTCCTCGGTCACCGGTGGCCTTCGGTAGAAACGGCGTCGGCTTGGAATTCATTCTTGATACTGTCTTCTGAAGGTTGCTGATGTGGGAAGACACAAATTTTTTTGTTTCTTGAAAGAAATATGAGACTCAATTCTTTTGTTCCCTCTTCTTGCCAGCAGATTTCGTGGCATGCGAGACGGTCTTCTTTTTATTTTTATTTTTCAAACCAGAAATAAAATAAAATGATGGTTGCTACAAAGAGGTGGGGAAAAACCAAACTTAGACTAAGAAGTGACACCCAATGGATGAGTCTGGGTTAATGTAAACAGGCTTATCCGGCAAGCAAGGAGGTTTCAACTTTTCTCGTTATGTAGGTTGAGAAACGTGAAGTTAAATGTCACACTTTTTAGTTTCATTTTTAAAGTTATTGAGGTCTATAAATATCTTACTCTTTTCTATATAAAAAAAATATAAAAATATAAATAAAAATCTTGAGATTTTGGGTTGTAAAAATATTGAAAAAGTGTTAAGTGTTCTCCTTCTTTAGCTTTGTGATTATTCTAAGAGGATTGTGAGGCTTGTAAAAGTTATCTCCTAAATCTATAAAAACGAGAAAGAGTTATAAAAGGGTAGTTGGTCTTCGTCCATTGAAGGAAGACCGTTAGTATACATTGGTGGTCTCGACGGAAGAAAAATTGGGAGTGGACGTAGGTCACGATGACTGAACTACTATAAATTTGGTGTGTACTCTCTTTCTACTCTTCATTACTGTTATTTCTGTTTTAATTGCTTATTACATTTACTTCAAGTGAATCACACTTTCGATATCATTTCTGATATGAGTTTCATTGAATCAAACTTTCTAAATCATTGAAGTTTTCTGAATCGATGTAATGTTTATTGTGCTAATTTATTTCTCCTCTTAGTGCCGATTTCGATTCTAACAAGTCTAATTCTCCATATTTAGTGTAAGGGGTTAACATGTAATTATCATGCTCATTTTTTAATTTATCAAAAGTACTAGAGAGAGAAGCATGATCCTTTTTTTAACACTTTATATTTTTTACCAACTAATTTAAAATCATCATATAATTCATGAAAAATATTTTATAATTCATCTTAAAGTAAAGGGGTTTTGGTTGAGTCATTTACCTCGTCATTGAAAGCCATCAAAACGTAGTTTGCTACTTTGTCTTCAGTTTGCTCCTCGTCTTCGAATACACTTGATTCATCCTAAGACGCCTTGAGTGCTTTCTTTTTCTTTGACAGCCTTTTCTTTTTCTTTGGCAGCCTTTTCTTTTTAAGTTCATTTTTATTTTTAGATTCTTGTTTTATGAACTTTTTAAATTTACTCACGAGGAGTTCAAAGTTATCATCATTTGAACTTTCACTTGAGTGATCTTCTTTCATTCTAAATGCCAAATCCTTCCTGTTCTTTGGAAAGTTATTCTCATGTTCATCAAGTTCATCATGTGCCTTACATATTATTTCATAGATCATTAATAACCCAATAAGTTCTTCAAATAAAAAATTATTTAAGTCATTTACTTCTTATATTACCATTACTTTCGAATCTCAATTTTTAAAAAGAGATTGTAAAACTTTATTAACAAGTTCAAGATTCAAAAGATATTTGCCAAGAGCTTTTAAACTATTGACAATATCCATAAAATGAAAATAATAGTTTCACTTCGCTTCATTCAAAATAATTCAAAATTATGCATTAAAAGATTTATTTTAGACTCTTTAACTCTACTTATGCCTTCATGTGTAATTTCAAGAGTGTGCTAAATGTCGTATGCAATTTCACAAATCGAAATACGATTAAAATCATTTTTGTCTAAAGCACAAAATAGAACGTTCATATCTCTAGCATTTAAAGAAAATTTTTTTTTCTTCAAATTATTTAATTCATTCATTGGATTATAAGACTTTTGAAAACTATTTTCAATGATATTTCATAAATCAAAATTCATAGAAAACAAGTAAACTCTCATACGTGTTTTCCAATAAGAGTAGTCCATCCTATTGAACATAAGAGGACGAATGATAGAGTGACCTTCTAGATTACCGAAAAAAGTTATCTCTCTTGGGTGTTAAACCAACGGGGAGAAACATGGCTCTGATACCAATTGTTAAGACCATATTAGCACTAAGAGGGGGGGATGAATTAGTCCTTTTGAAAAATCACGTCGGTTTCAAAAATTACATTCGACGAAAACTGATAATGAAAGTGAGCTTGATTTAGAGTAAGTATAAACTGGAGTAAGCAATAAAATTAGTAAGCAATAGAGGTAAATAGTAAAGGAAAAGAGCACACCGGATTTATAGTGATCCGATTATCGTGACCTACGTCCACTCCCGATTCCTCTTCACTCGAGGCCACTAGCTTCTACTACCAATCTTCTTTTAACAAGTGAAGATCAACTACCTTACAACTCTTTCTCCTTTTGACAAGCTCAAGAGAGAACCTTTACTCTCCATTTTTATAAGGTAACCAACACACACCTCCCTTAGATCTACTTTTAAACTCAGGAGGAGGAAACTCAATATTTTGGTAGAGTTTTTTCGATTTTTTTCCTTAAGAATTCTTGCTCCTTTCTTGCTACATAAGTGAGGTATTTATAGGCCCCAAATGATTTAAAAAATGGAGCAAAAAATTTAAATTCTAGGTCTTTTGAGTATAGGCGGTACCACTGCCTGCACTAAGTAGTACCACTACCTGCACTAGGCAGTACCACCGCTTGCTAGTTTGATATTGGGCAATGCCACCACCCAGTTTGGTAGTACCATTGCTTGACATATTGATATTGGGTGGTACTACTACCCAATCTGGTAGTACTATCACTTGATAGCCTAGAAAAGTATGCTCTTGGCTTTTCCAACTCATAGGTGGTTCTACTTGCTAGTCATATGTGCCTTGCAAGCCAATCACGTGAGTGATGGCACATGTGACTTGACACAATCTTTTTGTTTATTATATTTTAGCATTGATCACTTTGTATTATTTCTTGCATATATGCATAAATATATTATGATGTCCATGGATCTGTGCAATGGGAATCAGATCATGATGAGATCATGATGATGAGACCGATTCACCTTTAAACACATATCTTAAATAATCCTAGTCATAGGTTACTCGAGAGGGACATTAAGATAACCGGACAAACTTGTGTGTTGTATACCGGTCCATATGATGGATGTAGCTGGTCTCATATCTGCTCATGTGGGGACATTAGGGATACAATACAAGTGCTCATTGGAGAATGAGTTCACTAATTGATTCGCTTATAGAATGCTGAATGGTTGATGATGTCTTATTGTCAAACAACGATTCCGTAGTCCTAGTAGTATATCTGGTCCTTAGACTTTAGACACCAAGGATGTCCTGTATTAGTACTCCACTCTTTGATAACAGATTTATAGGTTTGGATGTCCCAAATCTAGCACAGCTAGTCATCGAGAGTGGCAGTCAACCTTACGAGGGCTATTATGTGTTAATAGAGGATCATCCACTTTCGGTGTCATGAGAGGAATGTGCCATGTGTTTTTGCTCAGACAAATCCCTAACCAAGTCATTCGGATTGAGAGAGAAAGAGTTCTCTGGGAGAATCCGATTAAAGTAAGACTCGAGTAGAAACCGTATAGGTCTGATAGCATTATGCCTGGTATATGGTCTCTGAGATATTTGATGGATGAGGGACTATAGGTATATGGTGACTGAGGATATATAGGTCCAATAGATTGGATTCCCTTGTATCGTTTGGGGGCTACGACGTAGTGGCTTAGTACGTCCATAGTCAATGAGTCGAGTGAATTATTATGGAGATAATAATTCACTGTGCCAAAAGGAGTTATGATAAGTATGACTCACGGCCAGCTCGATATTGGGCATAGAGGGTCACACACATATGGTAGGTATTACGATGAGTAGAGGTTCGGGTATGAGATATCCGTCGGAGCCCCTATCTTATTGGATATCCAATAAGCCCCTAAATTATTGGATCCTATGAATATGATCCAATAAGAGCCCATGAGAGATTATTGGATAGAGATCCACTAATCTAAGATGATTGGATAGTTGGATGGAGATCCAATACCTAATTAGGGTAGGATCCATTGGGGTTAAGTTGACAAGGGACCTCTATAAATAGGAGGGAATCAGTGGTTCATAGGCTAGAGCTTTTTGGTTGCCTCCCTATTCTTCTCCCCCTCTCCACCTCAGAGTAGGTCTGGAGATTTGAGGAGTATTGTCACAACCCTGCTATGTGGATTACCACTAGAGAGCGGGGCACTTGACCTCCTTTACCCTCTCCTAGAGATATGTAAGGATTCAGGGATATACGATCTCCTTAGGTAATACAACTTATCTTATACGTTGTTTTAAGTTTTACAAATTTTGTGCACCAATCTTCACACAATAATGAACATCATTTTGGGAAATTGGAAATTTTGTTTTTTGTTCTTCCACTATGCATTGATGTCGCCTCCAAGATTTCCCAATAGTGGTATCAGAGTCAGGATGTTCGTGTGAAAGATTGGTTTTAAACTGAATGTGTTATGTTTTGGAGAAGCTTTTAGCATCAAAATCGTTAACGCAAAAGTGAGAAAGGGCAGCATTGCCATTTTCCTGCAACAGGTTTGCTACCGGCGGTCGGCAGTCCGCTAGCGCTGCCTGCAATCGCTAGCGCTGCCATTGGCAGCCTGCGTGCAGAGGCGCCGCGGGGCACTGGCGCCCGAGGCCGCTGCCCCCGTGTTGTCAAGGACTTAGCTGGTTTTGCCTAAGTCGTGCGGCACTCTTGCGTGTCCATTCGCAAAGGTCAGCTTCCCCGAAGCCTCCCATGGTCCCTTATAACCCACAAAAGAGAAAACGGGATAGAGAAAACGCCTCACTCGGGATCCACAAGCAAATATTCCAGGAAACACTTCATAGACAATGCAAATTACAAACAGACTTTATAAGCTCTGAATAGTTGCACAACAAAGGGTCAAAATGATCTATTACAGATCGAAAATCTCTCACAAGTGTTTACATGATACAACCTTTATTTACAAGCGTAAAATGGCCACCAAACCCAACTAAAATGGGACTATTAAGCCTTTGGCGGTCCCTCTACATGCTAGGCAAAGTATGAACATACCAAAAGATACAGACATACATGAGCATTACATCAAACATCCTGTTTAGAAGTTTGTCTGTGACAGTGTGCAGCAGCGCCGCGGGGCAAAGGCACCTACGGCCATTGCGCCCACGGG